AAAAATATATAATAATTCTTTTATCTTTATAAGAATGAAAAATAACTATAATTTTCTTGCGTTGCACGATAAGTGATATGGGTTAGTTATCTAATATCTAGCATCGTAATTTCTCAGTCGAAATTTTGGTGTCGAGAAGATAATGTATCGAATGTGTTGAATAATCATGGAGATTTAGAACCAGCGGCTGACAACCGCCTAAGACTTACCTGTATACTCAAATATATACGCGTATGTACATATATGCATACGTAATTACGTGTATTTACAAAATACTTCGCATATTACACATTAATCGACAAAGGGGCGATGGTGCAATGCTTTCAATTTCACCAGAGCATTATTTTTAAGAAAAGATATCTAACAGAGAAGTCTATGTTAAGATCCATTTATGTTTTATTTAATTTAATTAACATCTTTTTCTTTTCTTTTTTTAAATTTTTATTGTTATTGCTCGTAATATTTACTTCTCTCTCTCTCTCTCTCTCTCTCTCTTTCTCTCTCTCTCTCTCTCTCTCTCTCTCTCTCTCTCTCTCTCTCTCTCTCTCTCTCTCTAAGAGATACAAATCTTTACATTTATATGCTTTACAAAAACACAAAATCATACTTCCTTTGAATGATAATTGATTAACCTCTGAAGTAAAATTAACTGATTAGAAATTTTCTGAAAACCAATTGCCGAATATTTATATAATAAATGCATTACTTTGCAACACTTGATAAAATTGTAGAAGTGGTAACTTGCAAGTTCTGGGCAGTCTCTCTCTTTAAACAGAAATTTAAAATATGAAAGAAACAAAAGAATTGGTTAAAAATTACTAAATTATTTGGAAAAAATACCTTTCAAAATCATTATTTAAATAATATTTCGAAATACAATAATCCTGATATTAATGTCTATTATTATTTAAAATATTTAGGAATATAAGCGCTCTGATATATTGCTAGTAACTGATTACAAAAAAATGGATCAAAGCATGGGCTTCATATACAAGTATACAAATACATGTACACGCGCGTGCGTGTGAAGAAATCGAAAGATTCAATTACCTCCAACATTGATAATTATAGCTTTAAACGAAGAGACCAAATAATTAATGAAGAGTCCATATTCTCTTACAGAAAGGGCAGTTCTTAGAGAAACCTGAATTAAGCAAAGATAATTTTGCAAAGAAAAGATATGTATCCGTCTATTGTTACTTTTGTATGTATGTATGTGTATATGTATGCATATATATATATATATATATATACACACATACACACACACACACACACACACATGTAAACAAAGATATATATATATATATACGTATATTTGTATGTAGACTAGAATTCGATCATATTGATCTAAGTTTTGATCAATGCGGTGTATCGCGCGATCGTGTGATCGTTTGATTGAGGGTGCGGACGAGAGCGAAAGCTCTGTGTGTGTTTCCTTGATGTTTCCAGCTATCTCATTCCTTAATCGAAAATTCCGTCAGTGTGAATAAAGGATGCTCGATCATTATAAGCAATTCAGCCTGTATACATAACGTCGCCGTTATCAATCAAGTATTAGCATGTAAATTATCCTTCAAGTGACATAGCGACTGTCTTCAGAAATGTAAAAATCAGAAATGTAAAAATGTTTAAAATATTAATGTTCTATAATAGGATAATAGCGAAAAAAATAGGGATCTCGCAATCAATCGAGAAGTCTTACGGTTTTCACAGAAAGTAAAACGGTATTTTTTAACAGATTTATGAAACTATTGGGTTGAAACAAAAGTTCATAGCGTTACGAACTTTCGTTCCAATCTGATATTTTCCTAATAAAGTTAAGCGTCTAGTAAATCATCCCGCATCTCAGATCTACAGATCTTTGTATACATGCGCACCCTCCATCATCGACGCACCTAAATGCCTAAAGGACCTTATCAAACGTAGTAGTGCGTGATCAACGACGATCATTACGATCATCCACGCAACAACGATGCTATCGGTTTTTCCTGTCCTCGAAAACGACGACGCGGCTGAGAAACGCACGTAACTACCATATGTTCGCATTCCTCCAATTTGATGTATATTAATATTGCATGTAAATATCTCGATATACTTGTTAGATCGGGAAAAAGAAGAAAAGAAAAAGGAAGAAGAAACAGAATCCTCGCCGTAATCACGCTTACAACTGAGGATAAGAAAGAAGGGCATCTCAATGTAATTACTCCGTGGACACAATGAAAATATAGAGTCGAAGTCTGTCAATTCGTGACACATTATAAATTCTAAACCTGTGATTTTATCGAATCTAACTTTAGGGGTTTTAGCTTTAATGCTCTTGGTAGAATGGCAGATATGTATATCTGTACTCTATATGTACGATCCGATTCACTCTCGGTTTACGAACATATCGTATTGCACGTTCCGTTGTAATCAACAAGAGCAGAAACCCGATCATTAATCCTTAATCAGTATGGTGAAGTTATGCATTTGATATGGAGGTCACGGATAATTAGCTCTTGAATCCCACTCACTGGATCCTCGCTAAATCCATTAAATTGAGGTTTTGAATATAAGAGAACGTGGTGATTAGAACATAAAAAATGTATTTTCATAGTTCAGAATACATTACTTGTTTTAGACATAATACTTGGAACGAAGATAGAGAGAAAGAGGGGGGGGGAGAGAGAGAGAGAGAGAGAGAGAGAGACAAACCTAATTATTAATCTTATATATTTACTCGAATAGATTTTTTTACGATCCCAAGGGGAAATACAAGAATTAAAAAACTTTGAAAATATAATTACGTATTTTTAAATTAGAAGAAAGTAGAAACAAAAAGTGAATAAGAAACCTCGATGAGAAATCAGCTAATAATCAGCTTAACTAAGCAACATTCTTGATAATAGCATACCTATAATATATCCATAATTCGTCGCTGCTGTTGTAACTAGATGTAAGTCGCTTTTAGAACTACTCGCTTAAGGACTCATTGTGCTGGTTAAGGATTAAAATATATTTTTTCAAGCAATTAACTATTGTAATTAAAAGTATGAGTGTGCATGTGCGATTTCAACGTTGGTCGCATTGAGAGGATAAAGGATACGACATGATAACGGAGAGCAGGAACCTTTTATTTACATTGAAAACTTTATAGCCGATCCTTCTTGTAGATAGCCCCAAAGTGGAACTAACCTTTTTATTAAATAAACTCTATCACACGTCCTGTACCAACTTGATTTACGATAATTAAAATATAAAAATTGAAAATAATGCAACTTTGCATCATAAAAGTTTCACTGCCACACGTTCCGATCCCTATGCCATTTTATAAGTTTCACATCATATATATTATATATAAGCTATAAGAGAGAATGCATGTGCATACTTCTGAATATAATGATAAAATATTAATGATTTATTGAGTGTCTCCAAATTGATGATACGAACAAAAAGATAGAAATTTATAGTGAGAAAAATTAATTAAAAGAAACTGTAGAATTAAAAGAAACTGTAGAAACTATAGAATGTTTTCCATACGCAACGCTTCGATATATTATTGGTTAAATTATGTACATAAATTAAAGCATAATAACTTATCCGCGAGATAAACCTCTCTGCAATTAATTTATTATTTCACAAAATACTTCAATCTTTTAATATCATTTTGATAGAAATGAAAAATATTTGATATACATCGATATTTTAATACACAAAATACGACTTAAACAAACTTTTCTCAAAACTAACTCGATTGAATTTTTAGTAACAAACTCTTTGACAATTTAGAGTCGATTTCTTTATGCGTGATGGCAAATGTGCCGTCAGATCTATGTTTCGTTTTGTATCACTATCTAATCTGTCGTGATGCAAATATTATTCAATTTCTGTTGCAATTCTGCCGATATATAATTTAATGGACCTTGCTTCTTCGTTATTAAAAGAACTTACAATATTTTATAAAATTTATTTTTGATAGAATTAGCTGTTAATGTCGTGAGCGAAAAGATCTGCCGCACGTTCAAAACAAATTCGATACAGGCCGTAGTCTTAAGTTAGAAATATTTTGAAAACAGACAGAAATATAAACACCTTTGTACGACTTTTGAAATTCGACTACTTTATCGAACAGACAAAATAACATCAGCTAGCGAACGAGATTGACATATATAGAAGACAAGAATAATAAAAATTACAAAATTCATGAAGAAGTAATTGAAAGAAGTTGAAATGGTTCAAGTCAAGATTTTATTTAGTATGTATATTTTTACAAGACGTACATTATATACGTTTAAAAATAAATATTGATAAAATTCAAAACAAAATATTGTGTTGCATACATGTTTTAAAATTAAAAAATAATTACACACACACCCGTCTTATCTTCGAGTATCTTTGACTATTAATAATTTTGTAATATTAATTGACATCGTATATCTCTTAAAAATATTATAATAATTTTATTCCAATTGTGTGTGCTTATATAGTAGAGCAAAACAATAATAATGACTCATTAAATACTCAAATCCTTTCGCTACAAGACGACATAAAGTGCATAGGACAATTGCATTCTATCAAAGTTTCAAAGTGTAATAAACAGCAAATAAAGGTAACTTTTATAGATAAATTTTTAAGTACCTTTTTCGCATGCAGCACGCATAAATATATAAATTTGTATAATTTATGTTATATATATAGGAGCAATTAATTTCTTCATGCGATAAAAATGAAGATGATATTATTATTTTAATGGGCAATACTACGACTTTCATGACATTGAGTGATGTTGCATATAAGGCGATTGAAGAAATTATTGATAAAAATATCTCAGAAAGTATAAATATATGGATATCAAAGCTAACGGAGGAAGTAACGCACTTATTTAATCGGTAAAATTTCCAATTATTTTGCAATTTTCAAGATTACAGTTTTTACAGTATCAATATGTTCTTAGATTTATATGTGGTATACTAAAGCAAACACTTATCATCAATATGTGCGGCTCCTATGCAACCGCAATGATAAGTTTGAAGAAAAATCATCAAATGATAAAAGAAATACGGTATTTGATGCTTAACGAATATGACACAAATCATTATAGTTCTAATGAGTGTAATTCTAATGAGATGAGTTATAATAACAATAGTGATGACAGTTATGATAACTTGAGTTTGTATGATATTTCTGAAAAAGAAATGGTAAAATATCTTCCACGTTCGCGAGCAATAAAATAAATTTTGCCGAGGCTGCGTATACGCGAATCATAACTGATTCTCTTTACAGGAAAACATAGAAAAGAGAATTTACAAGAAACAAAAGCAAAGTGTTATAATATCGGTGGAAGAAGCAATACGTATAATACAGATTACGGTATGTGATACCAATAACTATATAAGAGAAACAATTATAAAAACGAATGACGCCTATGACAGAATAACGGCCAGAGATGTATATTCCCCTGTAAACGTGCCGCCTTATAAGACTTCCGCTAAACATGGATACGCTGTGTTGGCCAGCGACGGGAAGGGTGTAAGGAAAGTGTTGAAAGCACAAGCCACGGTAAGGACAGCCAAAATCTGATTAATGCATGATGGTTAGCATGATTTCGCTTATAGCACGTGGGTGGGATTATTAATTTTTCTACGTTGTGTCTAAAGAGTAAATATTAATAATAATATTAAGAGTAAATGTGAATATTAGAGATCATGAGAAGTGAATTATGCGGAAATTTTGCAAATAATAAAAAATTCTACCTATTGAATTAGTAATTGATTAAGTTAGTCGGAGTTTAAGCAATGAAGCTAGATTTTTACAAAACAATCTTTTTTCCAGTTTGATAAAATTTCTGTCGTACCTGGCACTTGCATGCGTGTAAGAAGTGGAGATGCCATACCCAATGGTAAAGATAATTACAACTATAAATTAAACTTGCTTGATTATAGTAAAGGATTAATTACTGCTTTTATGCGCGATTGCAGGAGCAAATACGGTTGTAACGCCAGAGAATATAAAGATATTGGACGAATGCAACGATAATGATGACAATTGTTTTAATATCGACAAGGAATACGAAATTGAGGTCTTGGTTGCCCCAGAAATAAACGAGAACATCAGGTATACAACGAAAATAGTTCGATGTCATTTAATACACCTCTTGAAACATGATTTGTTTTATTAAAACAATTTGTTTACTGTTAAAGAAACGCTGGAGACGAAATAAAATGTTTCCAATTCATTGTACCAAAATTCACATGTCTCGGACCAGCGGAATTGGGTATTTTGACATTATGTAGCCTCGATTTAATTTCAGTCACTGAACTTCCATCTGTAGGTCTGCTATCTATCAGTAGCGAATTGGAAGAACCGAAAAATACTTTAACTTTAGGACGCATCTATGAAAGCAATAGAGTAACTCTGACCTCATTATTAAAAAAGAATGGATACGTTCCCGTCGACTTCGGAATTTCTGCTTACAAGTGAGTGTATTTAAAATTTATTATAATTCCTCTAGCTACTGTAAGACACGATTTGGTTTACGAATAATTAACGTCGTCGTAGCTCTTAATTTAACGATCATGTTCTTGCAGGTTAAACGCTATAATAAAAAAAATCGAAAACGCTTTGGACGAAGTAGATGTACTTGTGATAATGGGCCATTCAAACGACAAAGATATATTAAAATCAATTTTAAGGGAATATTTTAACGCTATGATACATTTCGGTATATCCTTGCTTCTTATTTATTAATCGTCGGTGTAATATACTATGGTGTAACACGTTCGTTTACTCGAGCATTGTTCTTTCTCCTTCAGGTCTCTTGAACATGAAACCAGGGAAATCGACAATGTTTGCCTCGTGCACGTACAATTTTAAGAAGAAGATTTTCCTGTGCATGTCGGCAAACCCGGCAACAGTTCCCATTGTCGCGCAAATAGTGCTTCTACCACTTCTAAACACGATGCACGGCAATTTCTTCAAACGGCCTATCATTCTGCAGACTTGCGTAAGACTTGTCTTCTCTCATCACACATACAGCAAGAGATGTATTTATTAATGCGACGCTGTCGTAACTTTACAGGTGAATAATCACGAGTTGCATTTACGTCCGAAATTTTTATGGACTACTGTACAATGGGCAGAGCAGGAGATGTTTCCAAGGGCTTATTGCTCAAAAAATCGACATCAGGATATAATAAAATATCAAAAGGCTAATGCACTTTTAATGTTACCGCCGCGCACGTGGCAGGTACCGAAGTTAGACGCAGCATTCGTATCAGGAATATTTCTCGGCTGAAAATAATCATCGCTGAAATATTTCCATGTATTCTTGGCCAACAAGTCATTCGCATATATTTGCATTGTTATTTAATTATATTACATTATACTTACTTATATTATATTTAATTATATTGACAAATTATAATTATAATGACATAATTATGTACATTTAAGTTATATTCTCAGTAAAAAATTTTTTATACATTAATATGTATAAATATGTATAAACATACATAAATATTTATAAACACGTACAATCATATATGAAATATGTCCATACATATTCATACGTATATACATCCCTCTTTCTTTTGAAAATTACTTTTTAGTGTGATTTTTAGTGAAATAACATTAGTAATGTGAAAACATAAAAGATAATTAAAGGAATAATTTTTGCTTTGTTCGTTTTAAAAAAAAAATTAAATTTGGAAAAATGTTAAAAAAATTGCTCATAATGATGCATTTATATATAATTATACATAAGTAATTTGTTTACCTTTTTTCAAACTTGATTTTTTCTAAAATAAATAGTGTGAAAATTACTCTTAATTATTTTTAATGTTTTCATATTACTATTGTTATTTCTATTACACTAAAAAATAATTTTACAAAAGAATGAAGGATATATGAACATGTATGGACATATTTCATATAAAATTATGTATGTTTATGAATATTTATGTATGTTTATACATATTTATACATATTCATGCATGAAAAATTGTTTACCGGGTATCCCAATTATACTACCTTACTAGTAATTTATTGACGATATATTGGTTAAATATTGGAGATTTATTGGACTATGTGATATTAAAAAATAAGAGTTTGATAAGATCTAATTGAAGTATACAATCGCTTTTATGTAAAAAAAACGTGTACGCAAGATATTGCTCATGATTAGCATAAACAAAATTGAAAATATGTTATTTTTATGTTCACTGATACGAAGGAAATCTATTAATAAGACAACATTTATTTCTTAATAAGACAACGTTTATCTTTTTTTTAACTGTACCATTCTGCAATTTAATAGTAGCTATCTCGCCAACTAAATTCTTATTAAAGACCAAATTAAAACATCTTGAATTTGAAATTATACTTTTTTTCAAATTAAAAAGTAAGTATAATTTATAGATTTTTTTTATCCGGTTTTACTTCATACTTTTATTATGTAATTCGCAAAAAATCATTGTGTGATATGACTTATATAAACTAAATTCTTTGAAATTAATATTATTTAATAATATTAGTATCACAATATGCATATACATAATATTATATATATAAATATTATATATACATTATAATGTATATATTGTAATAGAAATATATCTTATGTATCGCTTATTAATTTCAATACATCTTATTCGATAATTTCTCTGTAAAGAATGAATATGACATAAAATTTTATTTTGACTTAAATTTAAAACCCTCAAAAGAATTTTTGACGAATCGTATGATCACTTTTTAAGATATGTATAATGATTAAAAAATATCAATATTAATATGACAAAAATAAAAAATTGTTAAATATTATTGATGAAATCATCGATTTAAATCACTTTGAATTCCGTATTATTAAAAAAATAGTATTAAAAAAATAAAAATAGGTTTACAACTTTCCGTGCAAACTTGTTTCTGGTTTGAAACTAATTTAGTTTAGTACATGTATACATATATGTACATAAATTAAAACCTTATCTTATTCCGAGAGAAAATTGCAATTCATTTATTATTCTATGGAGTTTGTATTTTTTTAATATTATTTTGTTGTAGAAAAATATACTGGTCGATATTTTGATGCATAAAATATGATTTAAATAAATATTTCAAAATTACTGAATATTTTTTACTTCAAATTAGCCAAGAAACTTTTGATTTTTTCTTGCGTGAATGGATTGAATATAATTGTCATACGGAAAGAAATTTCGCAGAGAGAGAGAGAGAGAGAGAGAGAGAGAGAGAGAGAGAGAGAGAGTTCAAATATTTGTAACAACATATGCAAAAGTATACAAATTTATATAATTACGTGTGCACATAATCATGTATAACACATAAATTTCGATAAATAATTATTAAATTTAAAAAAACTTCTATTATTTATTTTTATTTATTTATCCATGTACTTAATTATTTTATTTTAGATTATAATAAATAATAGAAACAATTTAAATGACTACGAAAAGTAAATTTCGATTATCTGTCGTCAGCAGATTTTGTTTAATTTTTTTTTACAATTCTGTCAATATGATTTACCTTATGATTTATATTGTGGTAAACTTTATTGTTTTTTTTTTAAGATTTATAATAGGCCTGTTCTTTTTGGCTGCACTTTTGCACCAGTTCATCTTTCTTCCTCTTCTTTTCTCCTGGAGAGAAAAGGAAGAAAGATGAACTGGTACAAAAGTTTAGTCAAAAAGAACAAGCTTATTATTTCGTAAAATCTGATCTCAACAATTACCTGTCAAAATCATAAGCTAGAGATTTGCTGCGTGATACGCGTTCAAAACGAAATCGACACAGGTTACAGCGTCCTGTTTACATATTTTGAAAAGAGAAAGAAATATAAACACTTTCGTACGGGTTTTGAAATTCGTTTAGACAGAGTAAAGTGAGCTAACGATCGAGGTGGTCGAGATCAAATGAAGAGACAAGAACGATAAAAGTTTCACAATCACGAGTTTAACGAAGAACTAAAGTGATCAAAATGTCTCTAAACTTTGTCATTTTAGGTGGTATGTATATTTATTTTATAAGATGTCATATGATTAAGAGTAGATATTAATAAAATCTAAAACAAAATATTATATAGCTATAATATATATAGTTACGATTTCCTTAAAACTATCAGGCGTAAATAAAATAAAAGCAATATATTTAAAGATTAAAAATAATTTTGCACACACACACACACACACACACACACACACTTTGTCTTACGTACGCGTAATCTTTGATTATTAGTAATTTTGTGTAATATTGATTTGAATTGTATACTTTTTAAATGTATATATTCTAATAATTTTATTCTAATTATACTTATGTAGTACGGCAATTCAGTAGTGATGATCAACAATTAAATGAACAATCAAATCAACCAATTGAACAATTTAGTGCAGAATTAAATCAAGCCTCTGTAATAGATTCGTATATTGTAAACAATTTAGCAGGAAACGTGAGTCTCATACAATTTGTGAAATGTGATAAAAAGAGAATAAAGGTAACTCTTCTACAAATAATTTTTTAAATATTTTTCCCGCACGTATGCATACATGTTTACATATATGTAAATTTGTTTAATTTATGTTTTATACAGGAAGAATTAGTTTATATGAGCACTCAGTACAATGGTAGTGTCATCTTATTAGTTGGCGATACCTTGAGTGATGTTGTACATGATGCAATTAAAGAAGTTATCGATAACAATGTTCTTATTGACGTAAACATATTTATATCAAACTTAACAGAGAACTTAGAATGTTTCATCAAACGGTAAAATTTTGTTTTTATTTATACTGCAGTTTTCGAGATTACAGCTTTTACAGTTCTAACGCATTCTCAGGCCGATATGTGGAATACGAAACAGCAGTCTTATTATTAATATGTGTGGCTCCTATGTAAATGTGGAAGAAAGTTTGAAAGCATTTGGAGATGTAATACTGGATATATTATGCTTAATTAGCAAGTCAAATAAACAGATTTTTGATATAAAGAAGGATGATAGTTGTGTTGAGCCATCTAATAATAATAATAATGATAAACCTGGAAATAATTCTACTGATGATAATTGTTCTGCTGAGGAATTTGAGAATAATAATAATGATGGTTATTCTGATGACTTATTTTATAATGATAGTAATAATGATAATTCTGCTGGGCCATCTAAGAATAATATTAATGATGATATACATAATTCTAATAAGACTTCTATGGATCTCTCCTTCGAAGAACAATCGGTACGATAAAATATCTTTCTCACTCGGAACAATAAAGTAAATTTTCACCAGAGTGCATACACGCGAATTGTAACCAACTCTCTTTACAGAAACCCGTATTGATAATGAAAGACTTTTATAAGAAACAAAAGGGAAGCGAAATGGTATCACTGGAAGAGGCAAAAGATATAATGAAAAAAGTAATAGACAAACATTATGAAAGACGTATAGAAACCGTACAGACGAATGATGCCTATGGCAGAATAGTGGCCAAAGACATATATTCGTCTGTAAACGTGCCGCCTTGTTGTATTTCCGCTAAACATGGATACGCGGTGTTGGCCAGTGACGGGGAAGGTGTCAGAAAAGTATTGAAATCAAATCTCACGGTAAGAATGAACTTCTATTAACAAGTAACGGCTCGCACAATTTTGCTAGGATATGTTGTATTATTACACAGTAAAAAATCGTGCGTCCATATGTAGAATTTTTCTTGTGTTACCACATTTTGATTATTACTTCAATGTAAAATTAACATACAACTGATACGTTATTATTTTTGTAACATTTTGATGTGTTAGATTCATGTCACCTTTCTAACAATTGCATATGTCAATTAAAAATGGAATATTATTTTGAATATTTTTAACACACACAATTGTTTCAATTAATCTATATATCTCAAAGTCAATTTAACATGTAAGAATTTTTTTATTCACATTATACGAACAAAAATGTTTTATTAACATTTTCTTACGAGTTACTGCAACTACTCTTCTATGTACTCTATTTATTTTATATATTAGTTTTAAATCACCCTTAAAGTCAAAATAACAAATATAAATGTAAAGTATTGTGTCAATTATTTAACATTACTAGTTCGTTAATAAATAACACAAGACGAATGAGTTATTTTAACTTAAAATTTAGAGTGGATCTCCTGGGACATGTAAAAAATGTTAAAATTAACATTTTCTTTTTTACTGTGTATATGTTTCCCACATTATCTTTAATGCTCGTTTCTATCAATGTAGATTAATTTAATTTTAATTTAACTTACTTTTTATCTTTTTCTAGTTATAAGAACTAAAAAAAGATAAATATTAAACCGAGATTAAAGTTAATCTACATTGGTAGAAATAGATATAAGGCGTGGAAGGGATTATTAAAAATCACGACTGACGAATTGTGCGGTCACAAATTTTGCAGAAAACAATTCTATTGATTGAATCAGATGTTGAATAAGTTGATCGTAGTTTAGTTGTCGAAGCCAAATCTTTACAAAACACTGCTTCTTTTCTAGTTAATCAAAAAGATTTTGATTGTACCTGGCACTTGCATGCGAGTAAGAAGTGGAGATCCTATACCCGATGGTAAAATCAATTACAATTGCATATTACATTTGTGTATCTATGATGGATTAATTGTCGCTTTTATTCGTGGTTACAGGAGCAACGGCGGTTGTAAAGTCTGCGAATACAAAGGTAATAGATGAATACGATAATGATGATTATTTTAATATCGACAGCAAGGAATACGAAATTGAGGTTTTAGTCGCTCCAAAAGAGGGTGAAAATATTAGGTATACGAAGATATTTCGATATCGTTTAATATGTTTTTCGAAGAACACTTTATTCTATTATTACAAAATAATTTCTTTACTTTTAAAGAAACGCTGGCTGCGAAATAGGGTCCAATGAGATTGTTAAACGCTCACACAGTCGTGTTAAAACAGCGGATCTGGGCATTTTGACATTATGTGACATCGATTCAATTACAGTCCTGAAACTTCCATCTGTAGGTCTGCTATTTATCGATTATGATTTATTAAAATTTGAAAAGGTTTCAAAACTAGGACGCATCTACGACTGCAACAAGATAATTGTGTTCTCGTTATTGAAGAAGAACGGTTATGATCCTATGGACTTTGGAGTTTCGGCTTATGAGTAAGTGCAACAAAAATTTATTACGATTCCTCTATAACCACGGTAAAACTCGATTTGATAAATAAGTAATGTCGTCGTCGCTCTTAATTTGACGATTATATTCTCGCAGGCCGAATATTATGAAATACAGAATCATGGACGCTTTGGACAAAGTTGACTTACTCGTGATAATAGGCCGTGCGAACGATAAAGATATATTGAAGCCCACCTTAAAGATATTTTTCGACGCTGATATACATTTCGGTATATTTTTCTTCTTTTAATCGTCGGTGTAATACGCTGCGGAGTGACACGTCTTTTTGCATTGCTTTTTCTGACTCAGGTGGCGTGAATATAAAACCCGGGAAATCGACAACATTTGCAACGTGTGAGTTCAACAAGAAGAGGAAGTTCTTCCTGTGTATGTCGGCAAATCCAGCGACCGTACCCATTATCACGCATGTATTGCTTCTGCCGTTATTGAACATACTAAGCTACAATTCAGACGATAATCCCTTAAAGATACAGACCCGCGTAAGACTCGTCTTCTTGCATCCTTCATGAAAATATACATATGCGTATTGATCGTTATCGTAACGTTACAGATAAAAACATCTCACGACCTGCACCTGCGTCCGAAACTTTCGTGGACATCCTTACAGTGGTCAGAGAAGGAAGTGGAAATGTATCCAACTGCTCACTGCACGAGTACTGATCAGCACATGATGAAATATCAATTCAGTAACGCTCTTCTAATGCTACCGAGCTACACGTCGGAGGTGCCAAAGTTAAATGCGAACTCAGCATTTTTATCGGCGATGTTTACGGGCAACTGACAAATCTCTAAGTTGTTCTCGAGTGACCAGCAAAACAAACGTTTGCAAATATTTACATAGTTATTTAACTATATTATTGAATTCTAATTATAATGATTTAATTATATTACGCTTCTCAAATTATGTCTGAATTATAAGATCTAAGGGCCGGTTGTTCCACCTTTCGGTAAATTTTACGCGTAGGTAAATTGTCAGATCCGCTCATGTGATTGGATAATCTTGCTACTTATCTAATGCGTAAATTTATCGAAAGGTGGAACAATCGGCCCTAAATGAAGTAATCACGTTTGTATAAAAGGAACATTCATACGTGAGGTACTACGCACAATTGGCAGGAAGAAATCGAAAATTATTTCGTTGATATCGTTTTACACACTGATAAATACAACGTAAATTTTTTCTTAGCAAAAACATCGGAAGATCATAATATATGTTTCAAGATTTCAAAAGTTTGCCATTTTGTAATTTAATTATAGCAATTTCGCAAATTAAGTTTTTATTAAAGACCAACTCAAATTAATCTTCAATTTGAAGTTTTCCCTTTTTCTAATTGACGAGCGAATAGATTGCTTGTTTTTTTTTGCTTGATTTTACTTCCACTATAATTTGCAAAAAATCGTTGTAGAATGATTTATAAATTAATTAAGAATTAATTAACTTATTATAATTCTTTGGAATTAATATTGTGCAATTATGTTAACATAGTAATATATATATCGTATATATTCTAATTTAATATATATTATATATATATTATATTATAAATATTATATTATAATATATATATTGTAATAGTACTTTTTAAATATGAATTAGTGAAGTTCAACTAAAAAGAATATTTGAGCATTATACAACTAAAATACTGATATTTGCATGTTAATTTCAATCTTCCAATATCATATTCATTGAATTAAATTTTAAGCACAAAACGAGGTTAGTTAGATCACATAATAAAGATTAGCTAGGTTAGGAATCTCACATTTAATTCACTGATTACCAGTGGCATACTTGGCACTGATATCAGTGATTATCCACTGATTCAGATTTAGAGAGTATATTGTAATAATAATATTATATATATTATACTGTTCCCTCCGAGGGGGTAGCTGAAATAATACTTCCACTATAATTTGCAAAAAATCGTTGTAGAATGATTTATAAATTAATTAAGAATTAATTAACTTATTATAATTCTTTGGAATTAATATTGTGCAATTATGTTAACATAGTAATATATATATCGTATATATTCTAATTTAATATATACAATATATATATTATATTATAAATATTATATTATAATATATATATTGTAATAGTACTTTTTAAATATGAATTAGTGAAGTTCAACTAAAAAGAATATTTGAGCATTATACAACTAAAATACTGATATTTGCATGTTAATTTCAATCTTCCAATATCATATTCATTGAATTAAATTTTAAGCACAAAACGAGGTTAGTTAGATCACATAATAAAGATTAGCTAGGTTAGGAATCTCACATTTAATTCACTGATTACCAGTGGCATACTTGGCACTGATATCAGTGATTATCCACTGATTCAGATTTAGAGAGTATATTGTAATAATAATATTATATATATTATACTGTTCTCTCCGAGGGGGTAGCTGAAATATTGTTCCACAGATTATATGATTTTATCTGATTACAAATAATTTTTTTTTCTACTATGAAGTAATTTGGTAAAACATATGATTTTCTTTAATATTATATAATAATTTCTCGTGGTTACATATGTAATTATCGGATTATACATAGAGATTTTATATAAATTTTATAATGATTTCGAGGATTCTGTCCCACGATTACATTAAGTGGTTACCTCTTCGATCCTCTCGACGTTTTTTCATTAAGAAAAAGTGAACTTCCGAAAAATTTTTATATATTCTCTGTCAATTATGAATGTATACGATTCTCTTTTAACATAACATTATTTCATATTATGCGATGTTATATATAGAAATATAGCATTTGATAAAATCTTCTTAATGACAGCATATATTTTTATAATAATTATTTTTTGTAATTATTGATGTAAAGTACAATAATAGTGACATATTTTAATATGCTGTTGACACAAATATAATCATTACAAATTACAAATCTCAAAATTTTAAATCCTCTTACACTATGCATGTAACTTCGGAATGAACGCGGTTTTTACCTCCACTCGATCTCGCTAATCATTGAATAACGCGAGAATAATATTTGAATTTAAAAAATTATTTTAAAGCAGATAATATACAACTTTCAGGACATGTGAATACAAAGTAAAATGTATTAAAATATCAATTTTACGTTATTTTTCATGTGTATAAATAAGAAAATTTATATAACCCGCTCGAAAGGTTAAAGGAACGAATCTTTTTAACAGAAAATCTCAATTCTTTTAAAAATGATAATCCTTTCACACACACTCACGCACACACACACACACACACACAAATGGAAAATAATGATAATTATTTTGCGCTGCACAAGAGCTACATCGCGAAATCTCACAGTCAAAATTTTAATGTTGAGAAGACATATTATGTGAAAATCAAAGTAACGGTGATGTATAATATTTTCGAAAGTTTTACCAATTAGATAATTATTATAACGTTGTGTTTAAAAAACTTCCACTTTTTTATATTTATATAATTTATTTATTACATTTACTCATTTATTTTGCATGTATCCAGTTAGATAAGAAGATGGTTTAATCGTTCCATTTTACTATTAGATTATATATAAAATGATTTCGATGATTACAACAGCAGATCAAATCTGCATTTGTTTTTCGCCACTTACGGCTATTCTACAATGTGCTTCTTGTTTCCTGTTTCTTGCTGTTTGTCTCTGTTTGTCTCTTGTCTTTTTGATCAAGAAGGCAAGAGACAAACAGCAAGAAACAGAAAACAAAAAGCACATTGTAGAACAGCCATTATAATCTGTCATGTTTTGCAAACATTGTTTAATTTCTGTTGCAATTTTGTCGATACAATGTAATGTAACTTCTTATGTCGATATATATAATGGACTTATTGCTTTTCTTACTGAAAAGAAACGTATAACATTTTGCAAAATTTACTCTCAATAGAATTATTGCCGTCAAAATCGTGAACACAGAGATCTGCCTCACGACATATTCAAAACAAAATCGACATAGGTCGCAGTCTTAAAATATTTTGAAAAGAGAAAAATATAAACATTTTCGTATGACTTTTGAAATTTGATCATTTTATCGGAGACAAAGTAAAGTCAGCTGGCGAACGAGGTGGTCGACGTCAAACATAGGAAACGAGAATAATAAAAGATACCTAGTCACAAGATTTAAAAAGACATAATTGAAAGAATGGATGAAATGGATGAAACGGATCTCTTGATCACGATTTTTGCTGGTATGTGTATTTATCTTGCAAGATGTACAATATACGTTTAAAAGTAAATATTATAACAAAAACAAAATATTTTATATTATGAATATATACAGGGTGTCTCAGAAAATGTGACCGAAACACAGTGGGGACATATAGATTGGATCAAGGGAATCAGTAGGCTGGTCGGACGCTCGTATTCGCCTATCTTTAAACGTTAATATCTCGTTAAATATTGCGTCAACTGCAAAATGGTACAAATCTGTTTTGTTCCCCTTGATCCAATCTATGTCCCCACTGTGTTTCGGTCACATTTTCTGAGACACCCTGTATACATATACATATTTAGAAATTAAAAATAATTTTATTATACATATACAAATATACACACACGTATGTATATGTCTTACGTAGGCATATTTTCAATTATTAATAACTTTTATATGTAATATTGATTCACACTATACTTCTTAAAAATATTCAAATAATAATATTTTTTTAAATATTACAAATAATTTTATTTTTAATTTTATTATACTATACAGTAGAGCAAGAAAGCTACAATATTGGCTTATTAAAGAATCAGTTTCTTTCACTACAACAAAGTATAAACGACATAACTTTCTGTTTAATCACAGTTTCGGAGTGTGATAAAGAGGGAATAAAGGTAACTCTACAAATAGATTTAACATTTTTCTCACATGCACGCACGCATACGTGCACGTACATTTATATGTATACGTATACAATCGATGTATAATTATATAATTTTTTATGTTATATATAGAAACAGTTAATTTCTATGTGCGACGAAGATGACGATAATATTATTATTTTAACTGGCAAAATGACTATTTTCTGGATATTAAGCGATGTAGCTAATGAGATTATTGATAACGATATTCCTAATGAGATAAACATATTGATATCAAAACTAACAAAAGAACTACAGCATTCATTTAATCGGTAAAATTCTGTTTCCATTTATCCTGTGATTTTCGAGATTATATGTAGCTTTTATATAGTATTAACTATATTTATATACATATACACATATATGTTCTCAGATTATTATGTGGAATACGACGCCAGACACTTATTATTACTACGTGTGATTTCTATCCAAATATAACGTTAATTTTCAAGAAATATCAAGCATTTATAAAGGAAACAATAGAGTTGATGGGTAACGAATATGAAAAAAGTAATGCTGCCGAAAATAAAGATAATTTTGAGGAGTTTTCTAATAGCAGCAGTGACTCTGATAGGACTTTGCGTTATAGCGAACCCGAAGAAGAAATGGTAAAACATCTTTTACGCTCGAAGAAATAAAGTAAATTTTCTTTAGAAACTGATCGTACACACAGATCGTAATTAATTCTCGTTATAGGAAAAAATGCCAGTGATGACGAAGTTTTATAACAAACTAGAGAAAAATGTTATGATGTCGGTGGAGCAAGCAATAGACGTAATAAAAGCTATAGTATGTGAAAACAAAAACTATAAAGTAAATATACAAACTGTGAACACAATTGACGCTTACAACAGAGTATTGGCCATTGATGTATTTAGTACGATAGAGCGTCCGTCTTGTAGAACTTCCGCTAAACATGGATACGCAATGTTGGCCAGCAACGGGGTCAGCGGAAAGGACATAAGAAAAGTGTTAAAAGCACATCCCATGGTAAGACTCGCTAAATTCCAATAAACGAATGACGGCTCGCACCATTTCGTTGACGTATGGGGGTCATGGTATTATTAATTTTTCTATGTTGTCTAAAGTGTGAAAGCAAATATTAGATATTATAAGAGGCAAATTGTATGAACAAAAATTTTTCAGAAAGCAATTCTGCCGAATTAGTCATCGATTAAGTTATAGACACAAATTTTAATCGTCAAAACTAGATCTTTACAAAATGCCGCTTTTTTTCTAGTTCGCAGAGATTTCGGTTGTACCTGGCACCTGTGTGCGGGTAAGAAATGGAGATCCCATACCAAATGGTAAAAATAATTACAGCTACAAATTAAATTTGCTTGATTATAATGGAGAATTAATTACTGCTTTTATGCGCGATTGCAGGAGCAAATACGGTTGTAACGCCAGAGAATATAAAGATATTGGATGAACGCAACGATAATGATAACGATTATTTTAATATCGACGATAAGGAATACGAAATTGAAGTCTTGGTCGCCCCAAAAGTAAACGAGAATATTAGGTATACGAAGATAGTTCGATATATCATTTAATATGCTTCTTAAAGCACGAATCGTTTTATTATCATAAAACAATTTGTTCATTTTTGAAGAAGCGCTGGCTACTTGATAAAGCGTAACGAGTACATTATGAAAAGGTTCAAACGTATCAGATCATCGGAACTGGGCATTTTGACATTATGTGGCATTGATACAATTCCAGTCATCGAAGTTTTATCTATAGGTGTACTCACTATCGGAAGTAGATTTGAAGAATCTGAAAACACTTTAACTTTAGGACGCATCTATGAAAGCAACAGGATAATTTTAACCTCTTTATTAAAAGAGAACGGTTACAATCTTACGAACTTTGGAATTTCAGCTTATCGGTGAGTGCAATCAAAATCTATCGCATTTCTTCTACCTACTGTAAAACACAATTTGATTTACGAATAATTAACGTCGTTGTTGATATTAATTAATGTAACGATTACGTTCTCGCAGATTGGATGCCATAATCAAAAAAATTAAAGATGCTTTGAATAAAGTCGACGTACTCGTGATAATGGGCCCTGTGAACGACAAAGATATATTAAAGGCAATCTTAAGAGAACATTTTAGTGCTTATATATATTTCGGTATATCATTTTTTTCTATGTTAATTCGGTGTACGCTACATTGTGACACGTCTCTTTGCTTGAGCAATGCCTTTTCTCTTTCAGGTTGTTTGGACATGAAACCAGGAAAATCGACGATGTTTGCATCGTGCACGTACAATTGTAAGAAGAAGTTTTTCCTGTGCATGTCGACAAACCCAGTAACAGTTCCCATTGTCGCGTACGTAGTGCTTCTGCCATTTCTAAACACGTTGCACCGCGATTGTTCCACGCCCATCGTTATGCAGATTTGCGTAAGGAATTTATACAGCCGCATAAATTTGCTTTATGCATACGTTTCTGTAGCTATGCAAGTTTATCCGAATGGATCATAAAGACTATACATCTTTTCTCATTCAGCATACAGAAAGAGATGTGTTCATTAATACGCTGTCGTAATGTTATAGATAAAAAATCACGAGCTACATTTGCGTCCGAAATTTTCATGGACGATCGCTCAATGGACGGAGGACGAGACGTTTCCAAGGGCTTATTGCTCAAAAAATCAACATCATAACATAATGAAATATCAAAAGGCTAATGCGCTCCTAAGACTACCAAAGTACACATCGGAGGTACCGAAATTAGACGCGGCATTTGTACCAACAGAGTTTTTCGGCTCTCTCTAAAAGTTTCTGAAATACCTCCAAGATATTCCTATCCGACCAGCAAGACGAACGTTCGCACTCATTTGCGTTATATAATTACCGTGTCTCTTGATATTTTTTAATCATAATAATTTAGTTGAATTGTATATTGTATTTATAAGCAATACTTCAATACCGTACTTCAATATTGAAGTATTACTTATTGAAGTATTGTCATTAACAGCACATATAGGCCAGTCGCCAGAGGTTTTAAAAAGGAAAAAATTATATTGTTTTAATCGATAATTTGAGGTATAAAAAGACTAAATTTAAAAGTGCTACAATTGCATTTGGAAGTAATTAAACAATAAAGTTTTTTTTTGGTTTTTTTATTTGTAGGAAATTTCAGCAGCAACAAACAAATTCTTTTGTTATTTTTCGATATCTCTTTTCGTTTTCGAGTTTTAATCGAAAAACAAAAAAAAACTTAATCGCTTAATTACTTCCAAGTGCCCCCCCTTAATGTTTTAGTTTTAAAATTTAAACTTTTAAATTTAGTCTTTTTATACCTCAAACTGTCAATTAAACAACAAAATTAAAACAATAAAATACCTGTAAATAATTGCTTCCTTTTTCACCGCCATTTTCATCTCTGACAACTGGCCTAATACCTTCAGGGAACGTTTTCTGGATCTCTTAGAACAGAATTCGGCACGAAATGCACATTGCGGCCGATTTTCGAGTCGGCTCCGCCTCCCGCTATCCCCCTCATCGCACCGCCCCGCGCGCAATCCAAATGCCGCTCGACGCTTAGGAATGTACTAAGGCGCTCGTAGACGTAAGGGGAATTCGTTCGGGACGCTCGACACGCTGTAATCTTTATTCTATCTTTTTTTTTCGCTCATTACATACGAAACTAATAGCGAATTCGGTTGAAAGTACTAGTGCATATTAGTGTACATTAAAGCCGTTTTATATATATATATATAAAACGGCTTTAATGTACACTAATATGCACTAGTACTTTCAACCGAATTCGCTATTAGTTTCGTATGTAATGAGCGAAAAAAAAAGATAGAATAAAGATTACAACGTGTCGAGCGCCCCGAATAAATGCCCCTAAAGCCGTAATCACACTAGCGATTGGCGATTGTAAATGACGATTGAGGATTACTTTTCAACCAATCGGAGCAAAGAAATCGGTGACTTTCAGGCTCTGATTGATTGAAAAGTAATCCTCAATCGTCAATCACAATCGCCAATCGCTAGTGTGATTACGGCTTTACGTCTACGAGCGCCTTAGTACATTCCTAAGCGTTGAGCGGCATTTGGATTGCGCGCGGGGCGGTGCGGTGAGGGGGATAGCGGCAGTCGACTCGAAAATCGGCCGAAATGTGCATTTCGTGCCGAGCCCTGTCTTAGAATGTCCCCAGGATGTATCTCAAATATAAAGCTGTTAGGTATTATAGTAAGATCTAAAGTAACCAGTCCTATATATACATATATAAAAGAAACACGTGTATACGGTGTATTTTATATTATTGCGCATGATTGGCAAAAATAAAATTAAAAATATGTTATTTTACAGATATATACGGTGTCCTGTAAGTTTTGGCCAATCGCTTTTGTGTAGATAGAGCGGACTAAACTGAATCGAAAAGTCCTCTACCATTTTGCAATTTCTATCATTTTCGCAATAGTTAACGAGATATTAATTACTAAAAATTGTCGAAAATTTGTTTTCAATAATTTTTCATTCAAATACTATCAATTGTACAGAAAAACTGCAACAGACAAAAATTGTTTATTTTCAAAACTTACGGGGCACCCTATATATCTGTAAAATAACATATATTTTTAATTTTGTTTTTGCCAATCATGCGTAATACACCCTGTATATAAAAAAAAATTTTCTCTTGTGGAAAACATCGAAGGATCTTAGTATTTGTTTCTTTCCAAACTGTACCATTTAAACGTAGTACCATTGTACCATTGTACCGTTATATCATTTAAAGATTAATTAAAATTATATTGAATTTGAAGTTATTCCTTCTTCAAATTGATTTCTTCAAATTGACTCGTCGATTTGAAAGACAATTCATAGATTTCTTTTATTCGTGTTTACATCCACTACTATATAATACATATAATGTACACTAAGAAAAAATGCTGTTGATTCAAGTTTATATTACAGGCTGTCACTGACATAAGTGATTAATTCATGCATATTTTTATTGGCATAAAGGCCTTGATTATTGAAATAATAATGATATGCCTTTTTGTCAATAAAAATATACATGAATTAATCACTTATGTTGGTGACAGCCCGTAATATAGACTTTAATTGAATCAACAGCATTTTTTTCTCAGTGTATGTATACATAAAATATCTCAATTTTTCATTAAGAATAATTAAACTGTCGGCAAACAATTTTTCACCTTTTCTACCAATCTTGAACGTATATCATTCTCTTGTAACAAAAATTAATTTTTATATTATGCGATATTGTATTATATATAACTGTAATACCTGATAAAATTTGTTTAGTGATGATATGTATATTTTTACGATTCTGTAATAATTTGATATGCAATGTATAATAAAAATTATTTCATATTTTAATATATTGTAAATATGCAAACCTAACACAAATTACACATGTTAGAATTTGAATCTTTCTTACATGATGCATGTAACTTTGGTTCATTTTTATTTCCATTCGATTTGCTTACGCATCAAATATCACAACGTGAGTATTATTATATGAACTTAAATTTTATTTAAAAAATTATACTACACACACACACAACTTTTGCACAGTATGAACACGGGATAGAGTATATTAGAAAATCAAGACAAATGTGATCAATTATTTAATTATTAAACTTTAAAAAATTTGCGTTTTAATTACCATATGAGACTTTCATTATCTCGCTTCCATTATTCTTTTATTTTAAATATTACGAGTCGTTTTTATCTTATTTTTTATTAAGTTAGAAATTATTATTTAAAATATTTTGGTGTACAAGTGCTCTGATAATATATTGCTTGTAACAAACTCATTGCAACAAAATGGATCGATACATACATACATATATAGACTTCATATATTTATGTATCAAACAAAAAGAAATCACGTAAAATTCAAATCTATATATGCAGGTATGTATGTATATAAATGTATATAACATACAAATTTTTGTAGATAATTATTGGGTTTAAAAGAAAACTTTTATTATTTATTAATTTATATTTATTTATTTTACTTGTTACATTGATTTCGTTGTATCAAATTACAGAGTATATAAATAGTATTTAAATTATTTTATTTATATAAATTATACAAAATAATTAAAACAACAATGGAGCAGTAAATGTGCCGTCAAATCTGCACTTCATCTCTAATCTGTTGTTAACAGATGATTTTGTTCGATTCGTTTCAATTAAAGTGATGAGCAAAAAGATAAGTCACGCGATACGCGTTCAAAACAAAATCGACACAGGTCACAGCATGTTACAATAGAAGAATTTTGAAAAGAGAAAGAAATATAAATATTTTCGTATAAACAGCCGTTACGTTTTACTTATCGAATAGACAAAGTAAAATCAGTTGACGAACGAAGTGGTCGTGATCAAACGTAAAAGACAAGAACAAAAAAAGTTTCGCAATCACGAGGTTAACGAAGAATTAAAAAAGACTAAAATGGCTCTAAAATTTATTATTTTAATTAGTATGTTATTTATCTTACAAGATAGATATATATATATATATATATATCATACGTTATCAAAATAGATCTTAATAAAATCCAAAGTAAAATATTTTATCGCATACATGTTTAAAAATTAAAGATAATTCCACATACATACACATACATGTCTTACGTACACGTATCTTCGATTATTAATAATTTTGTGTATAACATATTAATTCGGTTATGTAATATATTGATATTCGAATTGCATACATAATTCTTAAAAATAGTCTAATAATTTTATTTTAATTGTTTATATAGTTGGGCGAGATGACAGTAAGAAACTATTAATCAATCAAATTAATGAATTAAAACAGAGGATTAACTACTTAGGAGGAGAACTTTCCATCAAATTTTCAAATTTAGACAAGGAAGAGAAAATAAAGGTAACTTCTGTTAATGATAGTTCTTTAAATATTTTCCTTGCATGCAAACGTTTATATACGTACACAATATATATGTATATATATATTTATATGATTTATGTTACATTTAGAAACCATTAATTTATTTGAGTAATACAAAAAAAAATAATATTATTGTCTTAACTAATTTTTTTTCGACATTATGTAATGTTGCATATGAGGCAATTAAAAACGTCATCAGTAACAATATCCCTGACGATCTGAACGCATTGTTATCAAAATTAACAGAAGAATTAAAGTATTCATATATTCGGTAAAATTTTGTTTCCATTTATCCTACGATTTTCGAGATTACTGTTTTTATAGTATGAACGTGTTCTCAGACCCATATGTGGAATACGAAACAAGAAACTTATCATTAATATGTGCGGCCCTTTATGCGAAAATGCGATAATGAGTTTGATGACAAGTGTTACCTTGATACTAGAAATAGTACACTTAATGAATATGCAAGATGAAGAAATTTGTAGCATCAAGAATGATGATACTTTTGATAAGATGTTTAATACTAACAATAACGATGATAATTCTGATAAAGTGTTTTTGCATTCTGCCTCCGAGAATGAAACGGTAAAATCTCTTTCACGCTTGAGGAAAATAAGATAAATTTCCAGGCTGCGAATACACGAATAATAATTGACTGTCTGTACAGAAAAATATATCAATACAAAATCTATTCAAGAGACAAAAGCAAACAATTATGATGTCGGTAAAAGATGCATCACATACAATGCGCAAAATATTAGACGATGAGTGTGGAGATCATATAGAAATCGTGGAGACGAATAATGCTTATGGCAGGATACTGGCTGATCATATAGAATCCTCTGAAGACGTGCCATTTTATGATACTTCGACTAAACACGGATACGCGGTGTTGGTCAGCGACGGAAAGAGTAAAAGAAGAGTACTAAAAGCACATCTCACGGTAAAGATTATCGAATTTTAATTAATGAGCAATGGCTCGATTTCGGTAGAATGGATATTATTATTATGTTTTCTACATTGTATAAAGCGTAAAAAGGAGTATTGGAAATCATTGCCAATGAATTGTGCAGTACAAAATTTTGCAGGAAATAATTCTATTGATTGAATTATGTCTATTTCTATCAATGTAGATTAAATTTAATTTCAATTTAATTTACTCTTTTTTTTTCTTTATTTTTTAGAAAAGAGAAGAAAAACTAGAAAAAAATAAACAGTTAATTGAACCGAAATTGAAATTAAACTATATTGGTAGAAACGAGCATTATAGGCGTCGATTAAATTAATCGGAATTCAATTCTAGTTTCAAGCTAAATTTCTGGTTTGAAACTAGAATTGAATTCCGATTAATTTAATCGACGCCTATAATGCTCGTTTCTACCAATATAGTTTAATTTCAATTTCGGTTTAATTAATTGTTTATTTTTTTCTAGTTTTTCTTCTCTTTTCTAAGAAATAGAGAAAGAGGGAAAGAGTAAATCTAGTTTGAAACTAGATTTTTACAAAATATCACTTCTTTTCCAGTTCGCAGATATTTCGGTTGTACCTGGCACTTGCGTGCGAGTAAGAAGTGGAGATCCCATACCCAATGGTAAAAATAATTACAACTGAATATTACACTGATTTGCTTATAATGAAGAATTAATTACTATTTTTATTTGCGATTGCAGGAGCAACGGCGGTTGTAACGCTAGCGAATACAAAGGTATTGGAAGAATGTAGCGACAATGATGACGATTATTTTAATATCAACTACAAGGAATATGAAATTGAAGTTTTAGTAGCCCCGAAAAAGAATGAGAATATTAGGTATATAAAGGCAATCCGTTATTGTTTTCTATATTTCTCAAAGCACGCTTTGTTTTATTAACACAAAACAATGTATTTATTTTCGAAGAAACGCTGGCTATGAGCTAGAGAAGAGCCAGATCGTTTTACAGATGTACAATCGTATCGGATCGGTGGAATTGGGCATTTTGAAATTATGTGGCATAAATTCAGTTCCAGTCATTAAAATTCCATCTGTAGGTCTGCTGTCCATCGGAGATAAATCCGAAGAGCCTGGGTACACTTCAACTTTAAAACGTATCTACGACTGTAATAGTATAACTTTAATCTCGTTATTAAAAGAAAACGGTTACAATCCTGTAGATTTAGGAATTTCAGCTTATCAGTAAGTGCAATCAAAATTTATTGTAATTCTTCATCTGTAAAACACGTACTATTTAATTTACGAATAATTAACATCGTCATAGCTCTTAATTAATTTAACGATCACATTCTCGCAGGTTAAAAGTCATTATCAAAAATATTAAATACGCTTTGGACAAAGTAAACGTACTTGTGATAATGGGACATGCAAACGACAATGATTTATTAAAGCCTATCTTAAGAGAATATTTTAACGCTGTTATACATTTTGGTATATCATTTCTTTTTATTTTAATTCGATATATGCTACAGTGTGACATGTCTTTTTGTTCGAGCATTGGTCTTTTTGCCTTAGGTCGCGTGGAGATGAAACCAGGAAAATCAACAACATTCGCAACGTGCATCTTCAATCACAAAATGAAATTTTTCCTATGCATGTCGGCAAACCCAGCAACAATTCCCATTGTCGCGCATATATTCCTTCTGCCGTTTTTGAACTCGATGCACTTCGATTTGATGGCTTATGAGCCCAAACCTAACATACAGACTTGCGTAAGACATCTCTTCTTGCATTCCACATATGGGAAAAGACATACTTACTGATACGTCATATCACTGTCGTTACAGATAATGACAACGCATGAGCTGCATCGTCGTCCGAAATTTTCATGGACAACCTTACACTGGTCAGAGAAGGAAACGTTTTCAAGGGCTTGCTGTTCAAAAAAACAACATCAGAACATATTGAAATATCAAAAAGCTAATGCGCTTCTAATGCTACCGCAGTGCACGCCGTATCAGTCTAAAATAGACGCGGCATTCGTACCAGCGATGTTGCTCGACTGAAAAGTCTCCAAGATATTCCTAAACAACCAGCAGGACAAATATTTGCATACATTTGGGTTGTTGTTCAACCATGTTATTGAATTATAATTAATTATTAGGAATGCACCGGATATCGCATATTCGGACAGAATGTAACATCGGATATCCGGTATCGGTCGGATATCCGGGAAGGCAAATTTTCGAGTCAGATATCCGATATTTTCTGGATATCCGACCGGATTTCGGGACATCTTCTATAAAAAAAAAATTGTAGAGAAACAAATTGTAATTTTGCAACAATATATATTAAGATATTAGGGATGCCCTGGATATCCGGAAAGTATCCGGTACCCGGCTTCCCTTATTATCCGGCACTTTTTCATTATCCGACCAGCTAGCCGAATAGCCGAATATCATTAGTATCCGGGAATGTATCCGGTTGAAAGAACATAGTATAGAAAAGGTCGTTTTTTGCCCACTAACGGAAAAGTGTAAAACATAGTGAATATGAGTTTATAGATTTCGACCTGCTGAACACGATGATGCTATTAATTTTTATTGAAAATACGGGAAACATCGTCATTTTTCGAGTTAAAGTCCTATATTTCACCCTCTCTGTAATACATGATTTTCAATACGAGTGGATTATTTCATGTGAAACTTAAGTATGCGAAGGTGCCTAATATTGTTAAACGGAAATCTAATAAATAAGATGAATTCAAAATAAAAGATCCAAAATGGCGAATGCCGTTTGGCCATTTTTTTGCTGTCGTCAACTGCTTTCTATAACTCGCTTTTAACCGGGCCCAGAGACAACGAGCCATTTTGGATCTTTTATTTCAAATTCATTTTATTAGATTTCCGTTTAACAATATTAGGAACCTTCGCATACTAAGTTTCAAGTGAAATAATCCACTCGTATTGAAAATCATGTATTACAGAGAGGGTGAAATATAGTATTTTAATTCGAAAAATGACGATGTTCCCCGCATTTTCAATGAAAATTAATAGCACCATCGTGTTTAGCAGGTCGAAATCTATAAGATTCACTATGTTTTACCCTTTTCCGTAGTGGGCAAAAACGGCCTTTTCTATACTATGTTCTATAACATCATTAAATTGTTGATTTTTTCTTATACAAATGTTTTAGAAATAAATATGCATATTTATGATGCTATAATCACATCAAAATTTTCATGTATGCATATGTATTATATAAATATGTATAAACGTACACAAATATGCATAAACACGTATTATCATATATGAAATATGTCCATATATATTCATACATCCATTCTTCTTTTGTAAAATTACTTTTCAGTATAATATCTTATACATTGTTGCAAAATTATAATCCTTTTCTCTATAGGCTTATTTTTTAAAGACACTTTCTCGGAATCCGATCGGATATCCGGAAAATATCGGATATCCGACTCTAAGAAAATGCCTTCTCGGATATCGATCAAATACCGGATATCCAGTACCCGGTAATTTTACGATTCGGTGCATCTCTATAATAAGATATTATAAGTATTATAAGTATGCGTATTTATTTGTAGAATATTTATATAATAAAAAATCATATAAAATTACATGTACATTTCAAACGCGGATATATATACCTGGATACTAATAATATCCGACTATCCGATCGTATAGTAAGAAAATGCCGGATAATACCTGATACCAAATTTCTCTAATAATTATAATTATAATAATATAATCAGAGTTAGGCTTGTATTTGAAATACTTTTATTTGTAAAACAGTATTTGTAAGACAAGGTAAAAAAATTTTCGTGTATATATATATATATATATATATATGCATATGTATAAATATGTATAAACATACATATGGTAAATATGCATAAACACGTATTATCATATATGAGATATGTCAATACATATTCATACATCCATTCTTCTTTTGTAAAATTACTTTTCAGTATAATAGAAATAATAATGGTAATGTGAAAACATAAAAAATACTTAAAGGGATAATTTTCACAAAATTGTTTTAGAAAAAAACAAGTTTGTAAAATATAAAAATAATTGTTCATACACAATTATGTATAATTTTATATATAATTATACATAAGTAATTTTTTGAGAATTTTTAAACTTGATTTTTTTATTACAACAAATAGTGTAAAACTTTTGATCATTTTTTATTATTTTTAATGTTTTTACATTATTATTATTATTTCTATTACATTGAAAAGTAATTTTATAAAGGAAAGAAGGATGTTTGAACATATATGGACATATTTCATATATGATTATGAATATTACTATTTTATACATGTTCGAATATTTATACATGTTTATATTTGTACATATTCGTGCATGATAAATTTTTTATCGGAAATTGTATTTTATATAATATTTCAAATACTAAGATTGTGTGTGTGTGTGTGTATGTGTGTGCGCGCGTGTGTGCGCGCGCGTGTGTGGTGTGTCAATCAATCTTATTATTTAAATTACAAAATACAAAAAACTTTCAATCTTTCGATTTTAAATACAAAATATATGATACTTTCATAGCCTCCGCTTGTATAAAATATTATACAAAATATAAAATATACTTATGTTACAAATACTATGTTTTAAATAAAAGTGTGTCAAGCCAGCCCTCGATATAACATAATCATAATTCTAATTGCATATTATTGAATTATAATTTATCAAATCATGATTTATTTTTAGTACATTTATTTTATATGCAAATTATTACATCTCAATTATATTAAAGATCGACTGTCTCGAGGCGCCAGTTTGATTGTGTGACGTCCTAAGAGAAAAACAAACCGAAATAAATTGCTATAGGTACTGTAGTTTTATTTTCTAGTTTCTCTTAAAAATATAATAATTTCATAATCCTGGAATACATAAATTATACGGCCAATCGAGAAATTTGCCGATATATTATGTAAAAGCGTAAAATAATTCCTGAAATAAGTACGTTTCTTAGTTGTTAAAACCCGCTGCGGCAAATCACAATCTTATATTAGAAATATTTTGAAAGGAGAAAAAATATAAACACACGGCTTTTAAAGTTTAATAACTTTATCGAATAGACAAAAGTAAAGTCAGCTAGCGAACGAGATGATCGAAATCAAATATAGAAGACGAGAACAATGAAAGTATCGCTGTCACGAGATTTATAAGGAAGTTTGAAAGAGACTAAAATGGCTCTGAACGTCATCATTTTAACAAGTATGTATATTTATCTTACAAAATATATGTATATTAAATGTTTAAAAATAGATCTTAAGGGGTTGCTAAACCGATTACTTAACTCGATCAAGGTCGATAGTACAAACTCTTTTAATTCCAAATTCGATAATAGTGGTGACATCTTTGATTTAATTTTTACATTATATTATATAATATATATCATTCTGTCTTACTCAAATGCATACATCTGTTCTTATCTAACATATACCAGCAACATCTATCGCAAGACCGCGCAACTACTGCTACACGAAATTTCAGCTCTGTTGATAGTCCTAATCTTCGCAAAGCACCTATATACATGTATTTTCTATTCGGTGACGATACTTTTTTTCTATACTTTCAATGTTATAGTTCTACAAACTCGGTATCGTTCGTTTCAATAATGTGATCTCAGCTGCACGCTTATTTTCAAGATATAGACTCTAAAACTCTTATATCAAGCAAATATATATTTGAGATGACAGCTGTACGAGCCAAAAGTAAGTGAATTTTTAACGAATTTTAAACGTTTTTTTTATTTTCTCATGAAATCCAGTGCAGCTGAGATCCTATTTGTGCGTACTTTAATTTATGTAATAATACTTTTGCAATCCGTACATCCACTACGGAGATTTTTCACCGAATGCAAATGTGGGTAAAACAGGAGACTTTAGCATCGCCTTAAGACCGTACTTAAGGCGGTCTTAAGAATAAGTTCTGACTATGAATACGGCCCTAAGCCTTAAACCGCAAAAAATTGACCAACTACAGTCGAAAAACCCCGCGGCAGCAGCATCCCTTTCTTCCCATTGACTATCCCAAGGTAAGTATATTTGCATGTAATAATTATTAAAACCACCAATGTACAGCAGGTAAAAAATATAATTTATATACATATAGGTACATAGAATTAATGATTGTGCAATAAGTATCGTACCGATCTTTCGTTTGCCTAATTTCCTACATTATTTTAATTTCGAGAGTACACACACATAATCAGTATTTCTTATTAATTTATTATCATTTTCAGCTCTAGGTCGCAGCTGGCGCGATGTCTCCACCTCCTGCATATCTCTGGATCACCATGTGGTTACCCCGGTATCCCATTTCGCAATCTTCGCAAAACCTTTTACCGTCAATCCACAAGGATTCGTTCCTATAGTCACCTTTTACCGGAGTGGATATGCCTTTGTTACTAGTATCACCAGGACACCGGTCTCCACAGCAATGGCACATGGTAACAAAAATCATCTTCCGTGATTATTTAAGGTTGTATTCCCCTTGTACATACATTGATGGTTGCCGCATCAGGAGACGCGGTAGTGGCTCCGGCCATGTTAAAAAAAAGACACTATAAGTCTCTTATCCAGAGCCACCAAAGTCAATTTTTGGAGGGTGCATAACTACTGAAATATAAAAAAATTTTGAACTGCATGTGATACATCCTGAAAGGCCGCATCGCCACGAATAATATGAGCTAAAAAAATTTTTAATCGGTCAAGCCGTTCTGGACATACAAGTGGTCGAAAAGTGATGATTTTCATGACAAATGAAGTAACGTCTTCTCCTTCTCTGTCCGCAGTCACGTGCACCTCTCTTGTCTCTCACCTTTCGCTCACACCTCCACCAACTTTGACTCACTTCACTCCCTTCCCCTCTCCCACTATCCACCCCACCATCCACCCCTACCACCCCCCATTTTTCGCCCTATCTTACTTTCTTTCGTCCTCTCTCACCCCCTTTGGTCATCTTTCACCCTCGCCTGCTGAAAGCGTCTGATGGTCACTCAGGGTTGTAATCTTGATATTGTGAGTGAAAGTCGTACGAATTTTTTGGGATAACTTTATAACGCGTGATGGGTGACTGCTACAATCTTCCGAAGGTTGTTCGGTGTAATGACCTTCATAATGTGGGAGAGTCAAGGTCATCGGAGGTCAACTGTCCATTTTAATTTTAATATTTTCCCAATGGGCAACGGTCGCCTGCTGAAAGTGTTCGATGGTTACTCAGGGTCGTGACCTTGACAATATATGTCAAAGTTAAAATTGTCGGAGTTGAATTCCCCACTGCTGCAACCTTCCGAAGGTTATTCAGTGTGATTTCCTTCATAAAGTATGGGAGGGTCAAGATCATCGGAGGTGAATTTTAATTTTAATAACGTCATATATATATAAAAGGGGGATTTTCAACTTTGCCGGCCGTAAAATTAGCTCAATTTCATGAATTTTTTAAAGAAAATTTATTATATACAGAACAATATGGCGTTTTGCATGAAATTATGTAATGTCAATTAATTATATGAGTGTCGCTATGGCAGGAACTAAAATAATGTCAATTGCCTGAAATTTGTCAAAATAGTGGCAATGAAAAAAAAAAATTAATTTTTTGTCCTAAAAATTTGTTACTTTTTTTGTGAATAACAAATCGAATATTTGTTATAAAATCACGATTCTAGTTCCTGCCATGCATAAAAGTATCAGGATCAAGAGGAAAAAAGAATTAAGTTAATATCTTAATCCATTTTTTTGGGGGTTATTAGTTCCGTCAGGTCGAAAAACGTGGTTTTGAGAAAAACGCGTTTAAAGTTTTAGTTTGACTTTTTCCACATATAACAAGTTTTTTAGTGCACTTACGATTCTGCAATACCAAGGCCATATAATAATCCTTCCCCATCTTCATATAACTGGTTTTCCATCAATCTCTCCAATCGCCGAGCTGTTCTGGCTCCTCTTGATGATTCTGACGTGATGATTTGCGCTGGTAAGCGCTTAAAGCCCCGTGCGCCATTACGTATTTGAGCTCATAGCTCCGTTAATATTGCGAATTAAAAAAATCTTTTACAAGGATATTTTACACATATGTAAGAATCAAAATAAATAAAAAAAATTTAGATTTTTTTGAAGCCTGCAAAGGTGAATCCCCTCTTAATAAGCAACGAGTGACTAACGAAACTCTTCGATGGTCACTAAGGGTCATTAACTTGACAATATATGTCACGGTCAGCATCATCATTTTTGAATTCCCTATTTCATTTTTAATAACTTTTTGACGTGAGATGGATGACTATTAAACCTTCCGAAGGTTGCAGGAAATGTAGTGGGAAAACAAGTTCGTTTGCCGCAGGTCTACGTTAAGTAATAATTCCATATTGAAAAGAGGAACCAAATGCCAACTGAAAATAGATCGCCAGTGTCACAAGTTCTGTTATAGTAATATGGAGAAGAACATTTTACCTTCCGAAGAATGGTTGACGGAAACGATGATAGATAGTTTCTATGCGCTACTCGAAAGAAATTCTGATTATGCACCTCGACCTGTACGGTTGACAATATTTCCCGATCGAATTGTTTCATTCGATAATTCGATGGGCCATACCTCATAACATTGATGATGTGCAGAATTATGTTTGCGAGGAAACGTATCAGGCAACAAATATTGAAAAATAAAGTAGCGAACGCATTGACTGATGCTATCTGCGTATATGTTGAGCGTAAACGTTGCAACATTCTAGCGGTTAGAAGATCTATCGGAGAACGCTTCGAAGAACGAATACAACAAGATGTTTGGGAATTTTTCACGGCTCTACCCCTTAGGTCCACTCAAACGGTATGGCATGTGTATTTTTGTATGTTTCGTAGTGAAAATAGGCAATGTACAAAAAAACAGCCGGTAACAAATCTTTTTTTTTTTTTTTTCACTAAAAAATTTACAACTTTAGCTTGATTTGACGGCCCCTTCGATGCACAGAAACGGTATGGCACCTACCTTCCGATTGGTTTTTTTGACGTAAACTATCACTAGGAACACATGCCATCCGGTAACTTATTAGGAAAAAAGCAACAAATTTTTGACAACTTCAATCACACGCTATCAATTTTAAAACCGCGGGAGGTTTGCCATACTTGCGTCACAGTATATACAGTAGCGCAACTCTCCCGATTTTATGTTGGCCAAAATGGAGTGCGCATGCGTCAAATAAGCAAGTTGCCCCGTCTCATTTCCTCCTTCTTTATGCTCTCTCTCTCTCTCTATTGAAATGACCGTTTCAATGTTCCATTTAAAGAGCTGAGAGTAGAAATTTGGAGGGAAATATAACGTGCAATCGTACATCGTCCATTTATAGCGAAGTGTTGTGTAAGAAACCTCAAGAGACTAGTCTCGTGAAAAAGTGAAATAAAGTGAAAAAGTGAACAAAAATAAAGAAAACCGAGCAAGAAAGATTTCTTTTTGAGAGAATAGTTAACCTATATAACTATATAGGTTAGAGATTCTCTTGGAAAAGCACTTTGATCTTAGCTCTCTGTTTCAGGTGCTGTGTCAACTCCAAAAAATTGTAAAGAAGAAGAACAATATAAAATGATTAAAGAAACAAACATATGGTGTGCAGTACCAGCGTGCACAAAAAAATTTAATGTAGAAGAGCGTCATTTTTTCCGATTTCCGAAGGAACATGAAAGGTATGTTGTTTTTATCACTTTTTATATAAATCAATTTTCAATTCTATGTACATCGTTATTAATAAAATATCTAATTTGTAGATGGTTGCAATGGATACGAGCATGTGGAAGACTGGACTTAGAACCAAAAGGTCCAGAATATGCATATCACAATTGTCGGTTGTGCCATTTGCATTTCGAAGAAAAATGGTACAAAATAAATAAAATGAGAACTCGTCTTCATCCAGATGCCATACCGACAATATTTTTTGTACCAGAATGTGGGAAGTAAGTTTCTACTCATAATTTAATTTATTTTTTAGTGAACACAAGGTCTGTTTTTAATAGAGATATAAAAGGGAATGTAGTTTATTTAAAAATTAATTTAAAAATAATTTATATCTATGTAGTCTTGTTTAATAAGTAATAATGAGCAAAACAATATTTTATTTTTCATTTATTATTATTACAAATAATTTATGAAATCAGGAAATAATAATTATCTTTTTTCAGAGAAAACACATTTGGCATGGACATTGAAGACGAAGCAGAAACAAATAAGTATGTTAAATTCAAATGCTTTGAAAATAATACAATAGAATAAGAACGACTCAATTAATTTCAATGTAGAAACTTTAATGATGAATGGGCTATTAGAGCCAGTTATTAAATTGCGAATATTAATATCAATGTAAAGGTATTATTTATAGATTATATATCATGAAAACCTAATCATACGACATTTCGACCCTTACTCTGGTCATCCTCAGTGATATTACCAATTTAAACCAATCTTAACACTATTACAATATGTTCAACTCTATTACTATAATTCTACATTCGTCAATTATAAAAATTGTGATCTTCGTTACCAAGGTGTTCTTCTCATAATTCCATTATTTCTGTTCTTCCATTCCGTATTATTCTCCCCATTATTATTGCAATTGTGTTTTTATATCCAACATCACTTCACAGTTCAATCTTACTTAATTGGACCAAGTTTTATTGGCTTTCTTCTTCTTTGGTTCATATCGAGGTGGATCGAGTAGCTGAGATATGATTCAAGAAGAGTTGGACAATGAAATGTATTTCATGGAATGAACTGTTATGTATACGTTATTACTGTGTTATTACGTTAGTACTGTGTTTTGCATCTTTCCTTAACTCCATTTCTTATGTATGTTTATTAATTGCATGCTTTATTTACTATCAAAGTGCATTATATAATTACATTATGTTTACTAATTGAACGTTTTATTATATGCATGTGTTATAAATATGTTTTATTTACTCTTCCAAATCGCATTATATTATAATTTATACATTGTACTTTCATGTGAAATATTTTTTTAATTGCATATGCCTATTATTTTTATTATGTATTATTTATTGTTCGTGTACAGTAATGTTATGTTGTTATGTACATATTTTTTAATTTTATATGTATGTTTTATAACATTTCATAATATTTTCATAGCATATATTTACAATTATGTAATATTTGAATATTTCTCTATATAAATATATGTTTTATATTTTATTATGTTTAATTTTATATGCATGTGTTATAAATATGTTTGCTTGTGTTAATATTGTGTTTGCCAGATGTTTAATTAATTTATCTATTTATTGAAGTTTTGATATGTTACAAGGATGAATATCAAGGATGACAATTCAACAATTTCGGTTAATGAAGCTTGTGGCTG